CCGAGTGTATTCGCGAAAAAAGAACTGTGGGAAATCGGCCACTCAAACATATGCGCGCGAGATAGCCACCCCCCTAACCAGAAATGATCTGTTTCAAAAAAATTCTAGATATATAGTGTCTAATTTTTTGTGGATGACATTGGTAGCGATGACTTAATTTTTTTTTCTGTAACGGGAGATGCCTAATTTTTCAGTAGAGGTGTTGTAGAGATGATTTAAGTCGGTTCTGTCTCAAGTTTACCCTTGCAACAAACACGTGGATTTACTTGTGGACCTCCAAAGGAGTTTTTTATTTTCGGGTAACATGAACCGACCAAGGAGTCGCAAAAATCAAGGACTCGTTTCCAACCCCGTTAAAAGGAACGGAAACGACGGATGGCAACGTGATCATACAACCGGAAGATCGGAAATAAAGCTAGCAAAAACAGCACGCATCCGGCCATGGATATCTCCCCGGACGTGTTGGTGGAGATCCTGCTGCGTCTCCCGCCGAGCGCCCGGCGCCGTGCCCGCCTCGTCTGCAAACTCTGGCGCGACATCATCGGCGGGCGTACGACGGAGATGCAGAGCCGCGCGGAGGTCCTCCTCTGGCACACCAGCTCCGCCGTCGCCTACGTCGTCGACGACCTGTCTTCGTCTTCCACGGGGAGCTACACGGAGCTGTGGAGCAGTGGTAGACCCGACGTACAGCTGGTCGGCACCTGCAACGGCCTGCTCTGCCTCTGCGACAACGACAACGACAGCTACTGCACCGGCGTCCACATCACCGTGGTCAACCCGGCGACCAAGGAGAAGCTGCCAATTCCACCGCTGCCATGCGCTGAACAGGTCAGCCACCAATGGAGGTGGGATACGACGTACAACTTCGCGTACCACCCGACGACCGGGCGGTATAAAGTGGTGCACGTCCCCAGCAGTTTCGACCGGGTCTGCAAACATGATACCGTGCGCGTGTTCACGCTAGGGCAGAAGGAGTGGCGTGTGGTGCCGGTCCCCGGCGGCAAAAGGTGCGACCTCAACGCCGGCATTGTCAGCGTCGACGGTGTGACACACTGGGTCACAGATAGTGTCGTCCTGAGGGTTGTTTCGTTTGACCTCAACAATGAGCAAGTCGCGGCGTCCACCATACCGTTCCCCTCTAAACCGGGCAGGCCCGAGGACTACAACCTGGCCGAGGTGCACGGGAGGTTGGGACTCGTCATCCGCAATCCGGCAGGGATGAGGGAAGCCTGGGTTCGAGAGGAGGAAAGGTGGACCCGCCGATACATCCTCACTTGTTCATGGCATGATATTCCACGGCCGCACTTCGCATATGGCGACTACTTCTTGAAGACCGAGGGGCGGTTGTTGTATCGGTACCCACGAAAAGGCACATTGTCGTCATTCGGCTGGAGACTGCCGTATGATGTCCTGAAAGTTAGTGACAAGGATAAGAGAATGCTGGTGGCCAAGATGAACGGCGAGAGGCGTGAATTTAACTACCGGACGTTTGCATATGTCAAGACCTCAGAGCCATTAGGTGTTTATACGACACGGACAAGTAAAGTCTAGTTAATGTTTCTCTTCACTAGATATGTGTAACTCGGGAAACAAAATTTTCAATGTATTTTTGTCCTTTCCAAAAATTAAGAATGCAATTATTGATTTATTTTTCGCACTTTGTAGTTTGGGTTGTTATTATTTCATCATTTTCGCTTATTAGGTCCATCTTAAAAGCCAACCAAGGAAGATCTAATTAAGTCCTACTAGACAACATATTGATGCAATATGCATGTCCATCTCTCTCCTTCAAAGATCGCTTAATAGTGATTATTATTAGTAGCAATGGCTTTACTTTTGGCGGTAAAACAAAAGCAATGGCTTAATTTTTATGTCAAGGAGAGATGTCTGATTGTGTTTTTGATGTTACAGAATTGGTTTACTAGTGGTGATTTAGGTCGGTTTATGTTTTTTATTTGTTTGAGAATAGGTCGGTTTATGTTGAACGGAGGATTTTCCATGTGGCTAATAAATACCATGCTAACAAATTGAAGGTAAAAACTATATGTATATAACAAATTAAAGAGTCCATGACATAGGCAAAAAATACAAGACGAGCACTAGGCGCCGGCGCACCGGCCCAAATTTGGGCCGGTCCGCTGCCAAACGTCCGATACAACCTTTCGTCACCGTCAGATTGCTTTCTCTTAAAAAGTCAAACACGTACGAAGAAAAAAAAAGAAAAGGCAGTCGTGCGCACACACTGGATCTCGCACGCTCGTCGGCCACCTGCGCTTGTCGTCGGCTTCCCATGCTTGCTTGCCACCAGTGCCACCACGCCCGCCACCCGTGCTCGCCGACCGCTCGTGCGTCCACTCGCCATGGCCGCCCCCGCTCTCCATGGCTGCAGCCTGCAGTTCGAACACGGATAGGTTACAGCACGCAGTCACCATGGTTTGCAGTATCCCCCGGCGTTCCCTCATCTCTGACTCGCCGCCATTGTCGATTTGCCCGCCATGTGCAGCAAAAATAATCTAAGCAACAAAACCTGGTGGTGCTAGGTTGAAGCAACAAAAAATATCGGTTCTAGCACAACTAAATGATGGTTCCAGCAAAAATTCTCATCAGCAGAAAACCATGGCTCGCAGCCAACAGCGGTAGTAGCAAAATTTTGTGTTGATTCCAGCAAAGCCAAAAACAGTGGAAGCAAAAATGCATAACTGGGCCCTTTGTGCAAGGATGTTCTAGCAAAAATTGAGACATCGGTGGTAGCAAAAATTGAAGCTGCTTCCAGCAAATCAAAACACCATTTGTAGCAAAAATGCAAAATTGGGCGTTCTTCCAGCAATAGCGAAAGCGGCAGTTGTAGCAAGAATTAGAGCTGGTTCCAGCAAATCAAAACACCATTTGTAGCAAAAATGCAAAAATAGGCGTTCTCCAGCAAAAGCGAAATCGGCGGCTGTAGCAAAAATTGAAGCTGGTTCCAGCAAGTCAAAACACTATTTGTAGCAAAAATGTAAAATTCCAGCAAAATCAAAAGCGGCACTTGTAGCAAAAAATTGTAGTTGATTCCAGCAAATCAAAACACCTGTTGTAGCAAATTGCAAAAAATTGGCGCAGGAACTAGCGAAACCAAAGCGTCGATGGTAGCAAAAATTAGTGTTTGTTCCAGCAAACCAAAAAACGGTGGTAGCAAAAATGTAAAAATGGTCCAGCATAAAAAGTACCTTCGCTTCTGGCATCGCCATGTTCCTAGCTCGGCCCGCAAGCAATTGCAGCACGTCATGAGCAAGTTCCAGCACCACCATGAGCCGGGTCCAGGCAATGGGTGTCGTCGAAGTCGAACCACCGGTGGGCTCTCCTGTCCACAGCGCCAGTGGCTTCTCCTGTCCACAACACCGGTCGACACACCGGTGCTGAACCTTCGCAGCAGTTGCCGTTCGACGGTCGTCGCAGCTCGCCAGCTTGTGGGAGTGCTGGCAACTTGAGGTAGAAGGAGGGGGAGAGGTAGAGAACGTCAATGGTGAGGGAGGCGGAAGAAGGAGAGGGAGAGATGGGCAGAGCCGATGGGAGGAGAGGTGGAAGAAGGAGAGGAAGAGGTGGGTAGCGCAGCGGGGAATTGTGGCCAGAAAACTCAACGGAGGAAGAAGATAAGGAGGAGGAAGAAGATAAGGAGGACAGAGCGGTGCGGGGCCCCAGGGACGCGTGGGTGCGGTCCGGCGCAAGTTTGAGCCGGCGCACCGGCTGCAAACATTTCCCAAAATACAAATATATATACTCACTCTGCCTAATATAAGATGTTTTCGACACTAGAGGGGCAAGGTGTAGCCCTCATCCCTCGGAAGAAAAAATGGTGTAGCCCTCATGCATGAATCAGGAAACACTCAAACACAAGGTGTGTTTGCCGCACCGATCTGTATGAGACAGTGAGAGACGAATTGGGAGAGGGAAATTTGTGGTTAATTTTCCATCTAATTAGGCAGAGAGCTGGCGGAGTAATTCAGATCAAGCATTGACGGATTCATTGTGGCCTGAAAATCGGATCCGAACTCTTGGCAGCCAAGTAAGTTCCGGATACAAAGGAACTTGACGACCAAGTAGGATCCAATCCCGTCCCGTTAAAAGGATCGCAAATTATGGGCAATATAAACTGGAAGATCGAGAACAAATCAGAAACGGGGTCCAATCCAATGGAGGCGTGCTTCCTCCCCACCGACCTGCTGGTGCAGATCCTGCTGCGGCTCCCGCCCAGCGCCCGCCGCCGCGCCCGCCTCGTCTGCAAGCTCTGGCGTGACGTCGTCGCCGAGCACACCACGGAGATGCAGAGCCGCGCCAAGGTCCTCCTCTGGCACGCCAGCTCCGCGGCCGCCTACGTCGTCGACGACCTCTCCTCCTCTTCCACGGGGAGCTACACGGAGCTGTGGCGAATCGCCCGCGTGCCCGGCGAGCGCACATATTACTACCCGGATGAGGTGCATGTTGTTGCCGGCTAGCCCTAGCTCTCTCCTACCTCTCGCAGCACTCTTGTTCACCAGCGGACCGAGGAGGAAGAAGGAAGGGAAGAGGTGGACACAGGGACACAGGAAAATTTTCTTGGCGCACGTACGCCACCGCCGCTCGAACGGCGTCCTTTTTCCTTGAGCACGAACTCAATACACCCGGCCATCGATACACAGAGGATCGGCGAGAGTTTATACCCACGCACACACGTACGCATGCCACGCACACGACGCACCCACTCGCCCACGCCCCGCGTCCATCGCTATTACCTGGCCCGCGCTCCCGTCGCGCCCGCACGCGGACGACGCGGCCACCAACAGCCCTGGACGCGGTCACACCTCCGGCTCCATCGCTACCTGGAAACGAACCACGCGCACGCACGCGCGGTCACACACAGCCCAGCGCGCACTCACACACGCACTGGACATGCCCGCCGTGGCTTATTGGCCAACAGTGCAGCTGGTCGGCACCTGCAACGGCCTCCTATGCATATGCGACAACCGCGGCGAGAGGACCGGCGGCACCGTCACCCTCGTCAACCCGGCAACCGGGGAGAAGCTGCTCGTCCCGCCGCTACCGGGCGCCGCCCAGTTCGCGCTAAACTACCACTGCCAGAAGTGGGACAGGGCCTACTGCTTCGCGTACCACCCGACGTCCGGGCAGCACAAGGTGGTGCACGTCCCCTGCAGCTTCGACCGGGTCTGCGACTATGACGCCGCGCATGTGCTCACGCTGGGGGAGACGGCCTGGCATGAGGTGCGGGGCACCAATGGCAAGAGATGCAACCTCCACGCCGGCGTCGTCAGTGTCGACGGCGTGACATACTGGGTCACAGACGGTGGCACCGCGAGGATAGTGTCGTTCGACCTCGATAATGGGCAGGTCGCCTCCTCCACCATAGAGTTGCCTTCTCTGCCGGACAAGCCTGACGACTACAACCTGACCGAGGTGCAGGGGAGGCTGGGAGTCGTCATCCGCAGCCCCTCGGGGACAAGGGAAGCGTGGGTTCGGGACAAGGGGAAGTGGATCTGCCGGTACGTCCTCAGGTGTAAATGGCAGCAGATTCCACGGCCGTACTTCGCGCACGGCGAATACTTCTTGAAGTTTGAGGGCAAGTTGTTGTATGGGTACTCACGGAAGTCCGGCGTCGTGAAGGTTAGTCGCAAGGATGAGGGAAGGCTGGTGGCCAAGATGAAAGATGATAATAACTTCGGTTCTAACTACCAAACCTTTGTGTACGTCAAGACGTCTGAGCCATTAGGTGTTTACGATACAACCAAGTAGGCTATAGTTAGTGCTTACTCCCTCTTTCACTGTATGTGTTCCCTAGCCATGAACACTTTGTTTCATTATATTTGTCCATTGCAAAATTAAAGAATGGAATTATCAAACTTTTGTAAGAACTTCTCTCTCTTTTTTTTTGGACGCCGCTAACTGCCACACGTGTGGGCGTTAAGGAATCTGCCCACACGTTCTGTGTGGTGCCTAAGAGGATCAGCCCACACGTTTGTGTGTGGGCAAAACAACTAGCGTCCACACGCCTCTTTTTTCCCTCCCGGTCCCTCTTACACGCGTGCGTGTGTGCGAAATAGATAACGCCCACACGCCCGGTACGTCAGGCCCGCACGCCCCACGTGACACTTTACCGCGCGCCCCGCAGTTGCCATGGGCCGGACCCTCGTCCATGTTCGTTTAAGTGCAGTTGCCATGTCGCTGAACTACGGTTGTTATGTCGGACAACTACAGTTGCCATGTTTGCTCAACTGCAGTTGCCATCTCAGGTCAAAGTTCCAGATTGCCATTTTTTTGGACAACTACAGCTGTTGCCATGTGTGGTCTGGTCTACTGCAGTTGCCATGATTTCAAAACTTTAGGAGTCGCCACCTACTAACACTAGGCAGTTGCCATGTAGCGCTACAAAAAAAGGCATGGCAAAAAACATGTTCGGGTAAAAGAGAGAGTTGCCATGTGCTCACAAGCACACTAGGGCAGTTGCCATTTAAAAAAGAAAGAGTTGCCATCTGCTTACATGCATGCTAGGGCAGTTTGCCATGTACCATGCCAAACATATGGCAACTGACATGTTCGGGTAAAAAAAAGAGTTGCCATCTGCTTGCAATCACACTAGGGCAGTTGCCATGTACACTGCAAAACGCATGGCAACTGGCAGCTTGGGTATGGGGGAGGAGGCGGGCGTGTGGGCGAGATGGCAAACTGCCCACACACCAGCCCTTGTGCGTGACTAAAACTGGTGTGTGGGCGAACTGCTAAACGCCCACACACCGGCCCCTCCGTGTGGTAAAACGGATGTGTGGGCAATCTCTCTCACACACCACACACGCGAGTTGTCCTACGTGACATATAAAATCAGCTAATTCGTGCCAAGATTCGTGCAGAAGTTACTAGACGGTGATGGAGGCGTGTGGATGAGTTGACTAATGCCCACACGTATGGGCGTTAATATTTCCGGGTTTTTTTGACAACATGGCGATTTATAGGGTGTATATACTTCTATATGGTCACTTCTGAAATGCGAGAAGTCCACATTACAGCCTTGAAATTGCAAACCATGCATAGTAATGTTGTTTAGGTTATGGCCCTCTTTGGTTACAGGGACTAGACTAAAAAAGTCCCTTTTAGTCCCTATGGAACCAAACAGGAGGAACTTTTCCTTAAGGGACTAGAAAAAGACTTCACTAGAGGGTCTTTTTTCTTTAGTCCCTGGGACTAAAAAAAGTCTAGTCTCTTGCAACCAAACACCCCCTATATATTCTTCTTCTTAGATTTAGTATTTCAAATCAGGTGTGTGCTCTCCTAGGTGGCCCCTTCGTTTGCCCTTGGTAGAACAAACTAAAGCCTACTGGCCATTGTGGAGTGAACTGCAAAATACCATCATATTTAAAGTTCACTTCTGAATTTGTCACCACATTTATTGTGGGCCCAAAAATCTACCGATTTCCTTACTAATTTTCTCAATAAACACTGATGATGGTTTGGCGTGATTTAATTCAATTTCTGACATACCGGGCTCGCTGGTCAGGTCCACGTGGCACCACTTGTAAACACCATTTGCATTGACTATTAAAAAAAGTTCCACACTTACACCACGCCCCACCTCATCTCGCTCATGGCCGGCGATGCCCCGCTACATATTTCTCTAGCGCCACCCCGTCTCCTCTCTCTCCTGCCTTCCCCACCACCTTCCTCCATCTCTTCTCCCAACCAGCATCGGCGAGATCCACCACCGCGCATCCTGCCCCACGCTAGATCTGGTGGCTCCCGCGACGTGGCCCCTCCCCTTGCCATCCCCAATGAGCTCTGGCCCCCTCCTCTGGCGTGCGGCGAGCCGGTCCCCTGTGTTGGGAACGTTGCATGGAAAACAAAAAAATTCTACGGACACGCAAGATCTATCCATGGAGATGCATAGCTACGAGAGGGGGAGAGCATCTTCATGCCCTTGAAGATCGCTAAGCGGAAGCATTTATCAATGTGGTTGATGTAGTCGTACACCTTCACGATCCATCCCGATCAAGTACCGAACCTACGGTACCTCCGCGTTCAACACACGTTCAGCTCGATGACGTCCTCGCCTTCTTGATCCAGCAGGAGGGGCGAAGTAGTAGATGAGTTCCGGCAACACGACAGCGTGGTGACGGTGATGGTGAAGAACAATCTCCGCAGGGCTTCGCCAAGCACAACGGAACCTAGACGGAGGATAAACTAGAGGGGATGGGGTTGCCGACACACGGCTTGGTGAATCTTGATGTGTTCCGGGTGCTAGCCCTACCCCTCTATTTATAAGTTGAGCCCTGGGGTCGTTTCTTGGAGAAAGAGCCTCCTCAAAGTTGGTTTGGCACGCAAGGCAAAAGTCCTCCTCGGACTCCAGGACCTAGACTCCAGGGTCCTTGGCATCTATCCCCAGACGTCAAGGTCCCTCCCGTCTGGCCCCTTGGCCTCCGCAAAACTGTCGTTTGCACCTTCCTAAAGCCCCATTGGCTTTACCCCTTGGCCCAAATAAAGTGTTCTCGTACCCGAACATTTTGGGAAACATCTGAAACCCCTTCCGGTGAATTCCGAAACCCTTCTGGAGACCAAACACCATTACCCCATATATCAATTTTTATCTCCGGACTATTTCGGAGCTCCTTGTCATGTCCGTGATCTCATCTAGGACTCTGAACAACATTCGGTCACCAACATAAGTACTTATATAATACTATATTGTCAACGAACGTTAAGCATGGGGACCCTACGGGTTCGAGAATGATGTAGACATGACCGAGACGCTTCTCCGGTCAATAGCCAATAGCGGGACCTAGATGCCCATATTGGTTCCTACATATTCTACGAAGATCTTTGTCGGTCGAACCTTTATGACAACATAGGTAGTTCCTTTTGTCCGTCGGTTTGTTACTTGCCCGAGATTCAATCGTCGGTATCTTCATACCTAGTTCAATCTCGTTACCGACAAGTCTCTTTACTCGCTCCATAATACATCATCTTGTAACTAACTCCTTAGTCACTTTGATATCAAGCTTCTTGTGATGTTGTATTACCGAGAGGGCCCAGAGATACCTCTCAATCATACGGAGTGACAAATCCGAATCGCGAATCATGCCAACTCAACTGACATACCTGTAGAGCACCTTCATGATCACCCGGTTACGTTGTGACGTTTGATGGCACACAAGGCATTCCTCTGGAGTCTGGGAGTTGCATGATCTCATGGTCGAAGAAACATGTATTTGACATTAAGAAAGCAGTAGCAATAATCTGAACAATCATATGCTATGCTAACGGTTGGGTCTTGTCCATCACATCATTATCCTAATGATGTGATCCCGTTATCAAGTGACAACATATGTCTATGGTTGGGAAACCTTAACCATCTTTTGATCAATGAGCTAGTCTAGTAGAGGCTCACTAGGGAGATGGTGTTGTCTATGTATCCACACATGTATCTGAGTTTTCGATCAATACAGTTCTACCATGGATAATAGATGTTTATCATGAACATGGAAATATGATAATAACCAATTTATTATTGCCTCTAGGGCATATTTCCAACAGTCTCCCACTTGAAAATCCTTATGTCATACTGTAGATGCTGCTATCACGCTTTGCTTATAGCTATTCCAAATGACCGCTCCATTATACGTATTTGATTTGCTACTCAGAGTTATCTGGATCGGTGTCAAAGTTTGCATCGACGTAACCCTTTACGACAAACTCTTTATCACCTCCATAATCGAGAAATATTTCCTTAGTCCTCTAGTTACTAAGGATAATTTTGACCGTTGTCCAGTGATCCACTCCTGGATCACTCTTGTACCCCCTTTGTCAGACACGTGGCAAAACACACATCAGTTGTGGTGCACAGCATGGCATATCGTATAAAGCCTATGGCTAAGGCAAAGGGGACGACCTTTGTTCTTTCTCTTTCTTCTGTCATGGTCGAGCTTTGAGTCTTACTCAACTTCACACCTTACAATACAGGTAAGAACTCCTTTTTTAACTGATCCATTTTGATGAAAGACCGACTAGCGAGATGCTGAATCGGGCGAGTCGTGGCCCGATCTTTCACAGTACTGTTGTCGTAAACGATCAAGGTAGAAAGAGATTTGTTCCTTGCTATTATTTAATAAGAACAGAAACTAATCTGCGGCAAGATTGACAAAGATCAAACTCAACAAGCAACATACGATCCATCAAAAAGGGTCGCAGAAAATGCAGCAACTTGATGTCCGGACCTGGGACCTTTTTCTCTGTCTATTAACACGCATTAAAAAAGTCAATTCAAAACAACTACCACCATACACGCGTACATAGAAAACCGACTTGCGTACAAGACCTATCTAATTTGGACTCTCTCTCTTTCCTATCCCAACAAATCACGGAATTAAACGATAAATTATTGAAAATCCACACATGTGACATCTTGCACATCGCCCACACGCCTTCACCGTCACTCATTTTAACACGTATGAACAGATGACATCAGCGGGAATATTTTTGGTTTTCGGCTAAAAATGTTTTATCTCCTAATTAAAAAATCAAATTAAATATCCGTTTTCATCATTAAACCCGTCTCGACGAGATCTTCAAAACTAGACCCCATGTTGATATGTTTCGATGACTTTTTTTTGCCCAAAAGTTGCCATGATGTTTACATTGTAGCTGCCATAGTGCTTAAACTAAAGTTGCCATGTGGTAATTTTAGTTTGTAGAGCATCACAATTTTAGTTTTTTGATGATGACAATTCCAGTACTTTGACCATGAAAAT